GGATTGATATGATTTATCAATTTGTCTACACTGATGAGGTCAAAAGGGGATCATTTTACTTTGTTAAAATTGCGAGTAAGTGTTATGTTATAGTTTTAGAACATTTTTTCCAGCGTTATCGCACCAACATTCAAATCAACTTACTCTTGTCCACAATAAATTGAAACCTGAATGTCAAATAATAGTTCTTAATCCAAAAAGTATAAATGGACTTTCTTAAAATAAAAATGAATTAATGAATTGTGGACAATCGATTTTAGATTTGGATGAACACGTGTCTCATTAATTAACAAACTAATGTACCACGAACTAGTGAAAATATCATCCTTGGGAAAATAACCTGCTGTACATTACCTCAGTATTGCATGAATAAAACTGCAGATTGTCATGAAATGATTATGCTACTACATGTTAAGTCATCATACATTATTTTTCTTCCCAAACTGAAATGAAATCAGTTTCTCTTCCCCCCCCCCCCCCCCCCCCCCCAACCAAAACAAACACAAAACAATAATGGGTTACTATATACTATTTCATACTGGTGTATTTAGCTTAAAATTTTATGTTGTAAACATATCTACGATTATATCATTATTGTTTAGCGAGTAAATCTGTGTTACCCTGTTTGTTTACCTGTATGAGTCCTGTTAAAATATTTGTTTTGAGTTTGTGTTAATTGGAATTGTATAACCATCTGGATATATCTCCTGGCTCCAGAACACTGGAGATACAGATATGAGAAAGTTCCACAATTAAATTGTGCAAAAGCTTTTTCCATTTTGTGTGATTCTTTTATCAACAAATAGAATATTTCACCCCATCAGGGGTGAGATGAGGGATGTCTCGATCCAAAACTGAGCTGGCAAACCTAAGGCTTGCAAAACATTTATTACTCAATTATCTTTTTCGGAGGGTTGAGATTACCAGGAAATAGAAAGTGATCCCTTTGAGGGTTGAGATTACCCAATGAAAGAGCCTCGGGTTAGACAATCAGTAATCTCCTCCTCATGTAGATTTCTCTGTCCTACCCTCCAGCTAGGGAATTATAAATCCATGCTTTTTACGGTTGCAAGATTTCATTGTCTCACCCCAGGTTTCAGATGAAAATTCCTCTGTAAGATTTAAGACGTCCTGTCAATGATGCGTAGCATTAATTTAGACAACAAAAATACATACCTAAGAAAGTCATCGGGGTAAGAGAAGAAGAATCATACACACTGTTTTTTGTGAGATTGGACATCCCAACCCTCTGGAAAAAGTTGGAAAACATGTGGCTTTTCTTTTCCTGTTTAAATCTCTCATCCCAACTCCAAGGGGTTGGAAGATAATTTCAAGCTCAAATTTACATGAAGTGCCATATACTTTTGCTATGGCGATTGATCTTTTGTCTGTCCTCCAATCTTGTTAGTGCTATATTTTGAGAAGCACTGGATGGATCTTTCTCAAATTTCATGTGAAGGTTTTCCTTGGTCCCCAAATGTGCCTGACTGATTTTAGGATAAGAAAAATGTCCACCAGGCAGCACCTTGGATGCTGACCATGAAAGTTATTATCACTATTTCTGCAGAAGTACTGAATCTTTCTCAGATTTCATAAGTTTGATTTTGAGACTAATCAAGAAAACAAAATGGCTGACAGGCGACCATCTTGGAGTTGAAAATTAAAATTATTTTTGCTATTTCTTTGATGGATTTTCAATAATAGTTTAGTGAAAAACCAGAGGAAAAGGAAAAAGATCCAACTTTTAAAGAACAAATAAAGCTTAAACATTAGTGAGCAAAAAAGATCTCTCTGGGATCTTATTTTTACATTGATAGGTTGCTATTCTGTTTACTTTGGTTTGCTATTCTGTTTACTTTGGTTTGCTAATCTGTCAAGCAATCTTAACTTGATTTGCTTTTCTGCTGCGACTTGTTGGCTTGCTTTTCTGTTTTAACTTGATGGTATGCTTTTCTGTTTAAATTGTTTCGTTTGCTGTTCCATTTTATTTTGTTGGCTAGCTTTCTGTTTTAACTTGTTGGTTTCTTGTTCCATTTGACTTGTTAGCTTGTCAGTATGGTAAACTTGGTTTGCTATTCTGTTAAACTAAGTTTTCTATTCTGTTTTACTTGGTTTGCTATTGTTTAACTTGGTTTTCTATTCTGTTTAACTTGGTTTTCTATTCTGTTTAACTTGGTTTTCTATTGTTTAACTTGGTTTTCTATTCTGTTTAACTTAGTTTTCTATTCTTTTTAACTTGGTTTTCTATTCTGTTTAACTTTTTTTCCATTCTGTGTAATTTGGTTTTCTATTCTGTTAAACTTGGATTTCTATTCTGTTTTACTTGGTTTGCTGTTCTGTTTAACTTGGTTTTCTATTCAGTTTAACTTGGTTTTCTATTGTTTAACTTGGTTTTCTATTCTGTTTAACTTAGTTTTCTATTCTTTTTAACTTGGTTTTCTATTCTGTTTAATTTGGTTTTCTATTCTGTTTAACTTGGTTTGCTATTCTGTTTAACTTGGATTTCTATTCTGTTTAACTTGGTTTTCTATTCTGTTTAACTTTTTTTCTATTCTGTGTAACTTTGTTTTCTATTCTGTTTAACTTTTTTTCTATTCTGTGTAACTTTGTTTGCTATTCTGTTTAACTTGGTTTTCTATTCTGTTTAACTTGGTTTGCTATTCTGTTTAACTTGGTTTGCTATTGTTTAACTTGGTTTTCTATTCTGTTTAACTTGGTTTTCTATTCTGTTTAACTTGGTTTTCTATTGTTTAACTTGGTTTTCTATTGTTTAACTTGGTTTTCTATTCTTTTTAACTTGGTTTTCTATTGTTTAACTTGGTTTTCTATTCTGTTTAACGTGGTTTTCTGTTCTGTTTAACTTTTTTTCTATTTTGTTTAACTTTTTTTCTATTCTGTGTAACTTTGTTTGCTATTCTGTTTAACTTGGTTTTCTATTCTGTTTAACTTGGTTTTCTATTCTGTTTAACTTTTTTTCTATTCTGTGTAACTTTTTTTCTATTCTGTGTAACTTTGTTTGCTATTCTGTTTAACTTGGTTTTCTATTCTGTTTAACTTGGTTTCTATTCTGTGTAACTTGGTTTGCCATTCTGTTTAACTTAGTTTTCTATTCTGTGTAACTTGGTTTTCTATTCGGTTTCACTTGGATTTCTATTGTTTAACTTGGTTTGCTATTCTGTTTAACTTGGTTTGCCATTCTGTTTAACTTAGTTTTCTATTCTGTGTAACTTGGTTTCTATTCTGTTTAACTTGGTTTGCTATTCTTTTTAACTTGGTTTTCTATTCTGTTCAACTTGGTTTTCTATTCTGTTGAACATTTTAGCCCACCATCATCAGATGGTGGTGTATTCAAATCGCCCTGCGTCCGTGGTCCGTCCGTCTGTCCGTAAACAATTCTTGTTACCGCTACTTCTGGAAAAGTGCTGGATGGATCTTTCTCACATTTCATATGCAGGATTCCCTTGGTCCCTAGTTGTGCATTGTACCTTTTTTGGATTGATTCGAATTCAAGATGGCCGACAGGTGGCCATCTTGGATTTTGGAAGTAAAAGTTTGTTACCGCTATTTCTGAGAAAGTACTGGATGGATCTTTCTCAAATTTCATATGCAGTTTCCTCTTGGTCCCTAGTTGTGCATTGTACCTTTTTTGGATTGATTCGAATTCAAGATGGCAGACAGGTGGCCATCTTGGATTTTGAATGTAAAAGTTTGTTACTGCTATTTCTTTGAAAGTACTGGATGGATCTTTCTCAAATTTCATATGCAGGTTCCCTTTGGTTCCAAGTTGTGCATTATACCTTTTTGGACTGATCCGAAATCAAGATGGCTGCATTTTGAGAGTAAAATCTTGTTACTGCTATATCTGAGGAAGTACTGGATGGATCCTTCTGATATTTCATAGATATTGGTTTCCCTTGGTCCCTAATTGTGCATTGTACCTTTTTTGGACTGATTTGAAATCAAGGTGGCCCACAGGCAGCCATCTTGGATGTCGACAGTAATACAGCACAAGCATATTGTCCATTATCCACCTGTAACTGACTGCTATCTAATAATACTTTGGGATTTTTTTCAAATGATATTTGCTAATAGGTGCTTAATAAAAATATCTTGTGCCATCATTGAGTACATTCAGTGAAGACCAGTTCATGAACATTTACAACACCTGTAACAAACAAAAAAAATAAACAAATCTTCAAGAACTGAAAATAGATCCTTAAATGGTGGGCGCCAGGATCCCTCTGGGATCTCGTTTTCTATTCTGTGTAACTTGGTTTGCTATTCTGTTTAACTTAGTTTTCTATTCTGTGTAACTTGGTTTGCTATTCTGTTTAACTTGGATTTCTTTTCTGTGTAATTTGGTTTTCTATTCTGTTTAACTTGGTTTTCTATTGTTTAACTTGGATTTCTATTCTGTTTAACTTGGTTTGCTATTCCGTTTTACTTGGTTTTCTATTCTGTTTAACTTGGTTTTCTATTGTTTAACTTGGTTTTCTATTCTGTTTAACTTAGTTTTCTATTCTGTTTAACTTGGTTTTCTATTCTATTTAACTTGGATTTCTATATTCTGTTTAACTTGGATAACTTGGATTTCTATTCTGTTTAACTTGGTTTTCTATTGTTTAACTTGGTTTTCTATTCTGTTTAACTTAGTTTTCTATTCTGTTTAACTTGGTTTTCTATTCTATTTAACTTGGATTTCTATTCTGTTTAACTTGGATTTCTATTCTGTTTAACTTGGATTTCTATTATGTTTAACTTAGTTTTCTATTCTGTTTAACTTGGTTTTCTATTGTTTAACTTGGTTTTCTATTCTGTTTAACTTGGTTTGTTTTTGGTTTTCTTTTGTTTAACTTGGTTTTCTGTTTAACTTAGTTTTCTATTCTGTGTAATTTGGTTTGTTTTCTTTTTGTTCTGTTCTATACTATTCAATGAAACAAAAGTAAGATATGGGAAGATACAATATTCGTTCAGGAGAAAAAAAGAAAATTAGAATTCAATTTTTGAAAATTTCATCTTTAATATCAGAAATCAATAATAATATTCTTCAAAAAGCCCACACACAACAGTTTCAATGACACACATTTACTTTTTTCACTTTCTCACCATTTACACAAATAACCTCAATGTCTACAGTCCTAAATTATTTGAACAAATCAGCTGCAACATTATCTATATCTATGTCATCTGCCTGCTTCGCTTTCGGGTCAACAGTGTCTTCTCCAAACACTTCCTCTGCTGTGAAGTCTGGCTTTCTTGATGCCTGATAGAAGAGAAACAACACATTACTGTATTTGGTGTGCAGTAATTATATCTCTTCACATTAAAAAAAACTTAGAGGCCTTTTATCTTTATACACTTTGACAAAATGGTCATAACTGATTATCAAGCATTATAACACTCAAATGACACTTTCCCGAAATCAAATGTATGGAAAAAATAACAAAATCTAACCATTTAATCGCTTTAATTCTAGGTAAAAAATAGAACCTTTACTTGATACAAGATTTTTCACTCAACCATTCAATAAAAGTAGCAAGCATATATACACCATTGTTTAAATAATATCAAGAGTATCAGTGAAACTGATGAATGCTCCCCAAAAAAGACTTCATTGGACACAAAATTTTAACAAAGGACAATAACTCTAAAATTAAGGGGCTGCAGGCCCTGAATTTGTTATATTGCATATACTTTAAGTATGTAAGCATGACGAATGTATACATCACATTTCATTATACCAGTTTAAATGCCAGCCAAGTTATATTCCAGACACCAAATTTTAGCAAAGGGCAATAACTCTGTACCTAAGGATTTTGGGGCCCAAATATTAGTGCACTTCACATTGTCTTTGTATGTAAACACCAAGTTTCATTATCCTAGCTTAAAAGAAACAAAGTTATGCTCTGGACAAGACTTTTAAACAGAGGGCAATAACTCTGTAATTAAGGAGTTTTAGGCCTGGAATTTTGTATACCACACATCATCTAGTATGGTCAATGAATACACCAATTTTAAATAACCTATTGTAAAAACGAGTAAAATAGGCTCTGTACAGGAAATGTTAACAAAAAGCAATAACTCTGTAATAGACGGGTCGAGAGCCCTAAATTTGGTACACTACACATTGTTTAAGTATGACCAATGTATACTCCAAGTTTCATTATCCTTGACTAACTGTGGACAAAGTTATGCTCTGGATATGAAAGAATGGACAAGCAAAGCTCGACTACATGCTCCCTGAAAAATTTTGGGGAGCAAAAAAATCATTGATGCTGTGCAACAGATGATAAGGAAAATGAACCTTACCGTATCATCATTCCTGAATAATTTTGCCACATTTTCTCGCTCCTCCCATGTAGTTAACTTAACTCCTTCATTTCTTAATGCATTCACTGTGTCAGCAAACAGGTTTGGATTAGATTGGTCCATCTTTCTTAACTCAAAATATTTATCAATAAACCTGCAGAAACACAAAAAAGTAATTATAACATAATACACGTTACTAGTACATGTATAACAAAACAAGAGGTCCATAGGGTCACTTGACATGCAAGGTCATTGGCTCACCTGCCCTAAGGTTGTGGTATTCATCTGGCAACATTTTACTTTAAATGACCTAACTAACCTAGAGGCCCCAGTACTGATACTTGCCCTGTAGCATGTAGCATACTCAGATGATGGGCTATCTAGTTTGTTTAACTGAATGATCTTGACCCACATTTAAGGTAACCAGAGTAAAACGTAATATAATTTTCAAACAAACTTCTTCAAAATAATCAAAAGACCCACGCTATTGATATTGAGCTTGTAACATGCTGGAATTACAAGTACATAGGATGAAAGATCACTAAATTTGTTCAAAAGAATCATCTTGATCCACTGTAAAAGATCACATGGGTCAAATGTCTTAAAATCTTCAAACAACTTCTACTCAATTACCAAAAGACCAAGGGTGCTGATATTAGGCCTGTAGCATGATGGGATGAAGGGCTACAAAGTTTGTTCAAATTAATGACCTAGACCCATATTTAAAGTCACAGGGGTCAACTGTGTTAAGAACTTCAAATTTCTTTTCAATAACCAATAAGCCTTGTGTCATGGGTGGTAGAATTATTGAGAAATTGGTTTTGAAGATTGCAGAAATTGACTGTACCAACAAAGTCTTTGTTTAAACCTTCAGAACAGTTGAGGTTTCTGTTTTTAACTAATCACTGCTTCATCTATTGAACTTCTTGGCTTAAAATAGAATTATATGCCTTTTGATTAATCAGATGAATCTATATGTGTATGTGATTCATGAGGGCTTAAATCAAGAAAATGTTGTATCCTACATTGTCACACAATGGTGAACCCTACATTGTCACACAATGGTGAACCCCACATTGTCACACAATGGTGAACTATATATTGTCACACAATGGTGAACCCCACATTGTCACACAATGGTGAACCCCACATTGCCAAACAATGTTGAACCATATATTGTCATACAATGTTGAACTATATATTGTCATACAATGGTGAATCATATATTGTCATACCATGTTGAACCATATATTATCAAATGATGGTGAATCATATATTATCATACAATGGTGAACCCTATACTGTTACACAATGTTGAACCTTACATTGTTACACAATGGTGAACTACATATGTTTAATGGTAAGAAATACCTACTTATTAGATATAGTTGGTACCGCTGAATTTTTCAAGTCTACTTGGTCAGTATCGTAGATTTCTTTGTAATATCTCCTACAAGATAAAATACTGTTTTATTAGGAAATTAAGCAAATTTGTGAAAAATAAACATGCAATATTAGAAATTTTCATCAATTAAGTTGATGATGTTAAGGTTTTCAAACTTTGGACTTGTTCTTCAAAAATCAATGTGATCTTTACAAGCACACAGACACTAAACTACTGAAAATCAGTTATTGTTAAACCTTAGAAAATGTAAATGTATAAATGGCAATTAAACAAAATCAAATTCAGTTAAGTGAACCACGCTTCATATTGAATAACCATTAAAAAACCATCTATCACTTTCCCCATATCCATATATCTTCTCATCTGTTCTCTAATCACTCACACCTATACTGACTTCTCACAAGGTGCTCTATTTATATAGTAATCTTATTACCCTATTGCTGTAGCATAATGATGTTCAAGTTCATTAGGCTACAGAGATTCTCCGTGGACTACAAAGATTCTTTAAGAATAACACTTTGATAAAAATAATGATCTTCCAATAATTCTCCTACTATCTGGTATGGTTAATACTAACGCTCTGACCAAGTCCTCTGGATACAAGATTCTGTTTATGGTTTTGGTGGGAACAGGTCTATTATACAATGGCTCCACAGCTGGTGGAAAGGCTGCATACACATCATACCACAACGGCTTTTCTGACTCGGGTAAGCCTCCAGAACGCATTAACCTTTCACATCTGTCCAAAAAGAATGATGAAGTGAAAAAACAATTACACCAAATTAACTTTACATGTATCTGGTAAAATGGTTTGGGGTCATGCAAAGATTCTTGTAACTCAGGGTATGCGCATTTGCACAATATGTAAACGTGTTTTACAAGAAGACATTTTCATTAATATCCCCTGTATTCTTCTCAAGGAACCAAACCATAGTATTCTGCTTCTCTGTAACATTTGCTCTAGCAGTGTGAGCTATTTGAAAATTTCTTCTGATCATCGTAAAATGTTGAATTTCCGTCTTAAGAATAGCTCTACAGAGCTGAAGTTAAATTGTTTCAAAACACGACGTTAAATAAAGGTTCTTGTATATTGTGGTAAGCCATGCATATCACTGCATACCAACAAGTTCACTTGCCTCTGAAATATAGTTCTTATTTTTTCTGTCCTGCTAGCTGCCATGTTTCCTACTTAAGTTCGTTTAGTCCTATAATTTCTGAAAGTCACAATAACAGCGGCATGTTTTCAATGTTGGCCATCTTTATGGTAGTCACACAAACGTTTGAAGCTAGAGAGGAGTTTAGAGAAACACTTCAAGTACCTTGATTTGGACGCAGTGATCTCGCTGAATGAATTACGAGACTTGAGAACGAGAACTACAATTACATCCGGTCGATCCTAGCAGGTGGGTGAGAAAAAACTTCAACTTAAAAAGTATTTCAAGACGATTGTTTGTAATACGACCATTGTTATACAAACGACGATTTATTCTACTACGTAAATGATATTTCAAGTGTATTTCTTTTCTATTACGTCCATGTTCCAAAGTAAGCGGTTGTAGGTCGGTTAAGTTGTGTGATGCACTGATCATCCCTTCAGTTACGTACATTTCACAGAGTATCTACAAACTGCATAACTGTCAACTGAGTCACTCTCTTTCTCCCTCTCCCTGGTGGTTTTTAATTAGTGCGAACTTCTGACGCTCATTAGCAGCATTTATAATTACAAACTGGTCCCAGCTCTCCTTATCAAAATTGTAGATTCAATGGAATAGACGTCCTCTTGTTAGCTATTATTCGATATTAACCTTCGGTCTTTCCATCATTGTTTACTTCAACCTCAAACATCGGAATGTGTTTTCCTTTGATATAAATGTCATATCTTCATCAGTCGTTCATATTTATTAATACATGTGAATGTAAGAATAATACAAAATGAAAAAATTACAAGAAAGTATTTATAGACTAATTCAATTAGCTTAAAGCAAATTAAAATATGAAATACAGTTTTGGTTCCCAGCATCATAAGAATATTTTGGTATACCAGTTATCAGAAAATATCAGAGGGGTATGTAAAATAAAAATGATTTTTAATACTGTAAAAATCAAATTATAAATCAGCATTATCACTTGAATTATTGTTGATTTGAGGTGGAAACGAGATCTGATGGAATTTAATGGAAAAAACACACTATTTCAGAATGAATTACTTCTTTTTATCAGCACAAAGTAAATAATTACTTCAATAAAATGTCTTGTAAGCCACTTGAGTGAGTTGTACACTCATCAAATTGTATCAGCTTGTGTATACACACAATGACAATGAGTTGTTTTATGTGTTCGCTAGACATATTGTGTACACATAATCTTATAGATGGCTTCACATAACATGAACTTGAGTTCATATCCAGTATTTGAATCTCTGATTGACATCAATATCTGATAGTTAATCAATAGCTTAGAGGTAAGTGCTGTTGTTACACTTTAACAGATTTATCATCAACATTCTTACAAATATAGATGTAGTAAATTAGATCTTCCCTCCACCATAATGCTAACATTACATTTGAACCATGGAAACTTTATGAAATATTTATTTCCAATTTGTTTTTTTTATTTGATACAGGAAATATGAAATAATGATACTTCAGCTTCTAATAAGGATTGATCATGGATTCCACGTACGAGAATGACTGAATAGTACAACTATGGTGTGTATGTGATCTGAGACTTGAAATTAAACAGGAACACTCAAAAATATATTGTAACAATGGCAACAGCAGACACAACCCAACCCCAGAAACACAGCAGTAGACGTAGGAGTCGCAACCAGGCATCATCACGTATGGAGAATGACTTTGTTCCCAATAACAGTGCCAGTTCTGAGAGCCATGGTGATTCATCTTCCCATGGTCATCACCATCACCACAGACTGCCTCGACAGTCATCGCGTCCGACCAAGCAACTGGATTTTTATCAGGCCATGTCAGACTTTAAGACAATGTTTCCTATGATGGAAAATGATGTGATAGAGGCAGTATTGAGGGCCAATGATGGAGCAGTGGATGCAACGATTGACCAGCTGCTGACAATGAGTATTGATAATGATGGGAGTGAGTCTCCTGTTACTGTACCTTCTGACCTCATATCTCCTGTAAGTTGTACACAAAGTGTATGTAGTTAATGATACCATGTAGATGTTTATTTCCTTATTCTACCATGACATGTAATTGGTTTAGGATGTAGATGACAGGATGTTAATCTTTTCTGATAAATATTCATCATTCTTTGCCATTCACAAGCTTTCTAACGGAAAAAGGAAATTTATTATGATTAAGTATATAATATTGATTTTAATATATATATATATATGTAAGTTTAAAGGACATGGTATATTATATGTTACAGCGTATTGTATCATTTTTATCAAAATCTTTTTTGACTACATGTTTTCAAAATGAAATTGAGATAAGTTTTCAAAGGGAGGTTTACATATAAAATCTATTCCTATAAAATAGATGTCTTTGAGGTTTGAATTCATATCACAATCATATAGATAATAATATGTTAAAATGCACAAGTTGATGCTTGAATAAGGTTAGAGCTGATCCTAAGTTGTGTGATTGATGAGTCCTGATTTACTCTATCTTATCATCTTGTTTCACAGTTGTCTGATGATTGCCCTGAATACAATGAGGAGAGGACAGAAGATTCACCACCCTCCTACACTGAGGCTGTTCATTCACAAGCCTCCAGTAGTATCTGGACCACGCCTATTTCTAGTCAGGCTCAAGACCACTCCACTTCACCTACAATAAACAAGAATAAGTCACCCTCAGGGTCACTTAAAAAGGAACAGAGTGGCAGCAAACGATCACCATCTTCTTCTTTAGGGTCAAGGTTTAGAGGACGTGATCTTTTAGATGGGGACGTGGATGAATTGTCTCTGTCTAATACAGAACCAAAGCGCCCTCTACCTAATTTGGACATAACTCAAAATCGAACTCCGAAGAGAAATTTTCGTAATTGGAACCCACCAATGTTGGGGACACTTCCAGAAGACTTCTTAAGATTGACTGTAACCCCTCAACCCCCTTCTTCTCTTACCCTCTCTACTCAGTCAATGTTACCTAGCCCTGTGCATCAGTCACTTGATGATATGGCATCATCACATGATGTTACACCTAAATCACAAAGTACACGACACAAACATTCAAAGTCAAGTCGCAGTCACGGAGAACGTAAGAGAATGTCTCGTAGTCTGAGTGAGAAGACAAGTGAAAAGTCATGGCTGACATCACAAAACAACAAGGACACTTCACCTTTAATGCATCAAAGTTCATTTAGTGCTAGGGGCAGTACTCCAGGATCAAAATCATTGGTAAGACAAAAGTTTGTTTGTCAGTAGCATTTCTGTCTTGTAAATATATAGAGAATACATGGTCATTGTCTTTAAAATATAAGGTGAAGGTAAACAAAGACAAAAGTGATGAGCTTACATTTTAAGACGCTGATAATGAGGTCTGTTTATCCAGCATTGTTGAAACATTGAAACTTCAACAGATTTCTTGTTCAATATTTGTTTACCTAACACCAATGTTAAGCTGAATTTTGCCTGATGACATTCACCAAAATAATTTCTCTTCATAGAAATGTAATTCCAAACTTCAGCAGTTTTGTGGAGTTTTCTCAATAAGCTTGTTCATTGAAATGTATAGAATCAATGGCTTATACAGTTATTTAAATGTTATACTTAAGACTATTCAAGACATAATTCAGTCAGATGAAAGCACATGCTAAAATACAGCTGTTTTCTGTCATTGCCAAATACAGCCAAAAATGTATGTGAGAGGTGTCATCTGTCAGTTGCAGGTTAAAGACACTTATTTGATATCCTACCAAATATAGTGACAGCACTATCTTGTAGCCTGGTCAAATCAGGTCAGCCTCTCAAGGTTATAGTATAGTTGTTATATTATTTCACTACAACTAATCCACCTTTATTTCCAGAAATATTTGATTTAGAAATTAAATGTTTCTTTTATATATATATATAGATTTATATCTCTCATGTTTGTCTAACAGATGATTTCATCACTCGAGTTCAGCCAGGACATGTTAGATGAAAAGATGAAAGAGAATGAGAGACGAAGAAAGAGAGCAGTGATGAACGCAGACCCAGAGATGTCACAATATCTGGAAGATGAAAGACTTGCCATTATGTTACAGAACAGCGAGTTCCTGCAAGAGCTCCGTAGTAATGAGGACTTTATGAAAACTCTGGAGAGGGGTGAGTATCTTACAAATGATAAAAAGATAATGTTGATATCATTTTGTAGCTCACCAAGGGATTGAAAGTGGAGTGGGAATTTACATAGTCCTCAAAGTGTCAGTATCCCAACTCAGGTTTAAGATTTTTGTGTAAATTTTTATGTCATTGTCACTGCATCCGTGCTTTTTTTCTATTTTTCTTACTATCTGCTAATATCTGTTCAAAACTGGAAAATATTTCGACTTATCCAAATTTTGACTCAAAGAAAGTGTCCAAATAATCGTGACAATATATTTTTTGGTGTTGATTGCAGTTGAACGAAGTATGGACTACGATAGCTCAATACACTGTAGTAATTTGTTATTTGATAATAACTTAACAAATCACACACAGATTTAGACTATCAATTAAAGCACTTCATTGTTCAAGCATAAAATCTAACAAAGTACCCAATCACAGTCTTTTAGTAAACAAGCTCAAAAGTTAGTTTTTCTCGGAATTATGGGGATAAGATTTCGTCATAAATTTTGTTCATGTTTGTCGGTTTCATTTTTATCGTTCTTGAACCAATTAAAGGTTTTCATGTCTTATGTAACTAGTTAATTGTTTAACGTACAGGAAAGTCAGTGCTACAGGATGGTGACTTTGATTAGGAAACAAACTTTTAATTGGATAATTAAACTGGTAATTAATTGCCAAAGATCAAGTGTTATGTGTACAATGCACCGATACTTAGCCGTAATTTGCCATGTGTTACACAGGTGACTTTCTTCTTTTTGTTTGTATTGACCAATTTCATCAGAAGACATGCTGATGTTTTGACCAAATTAATTTTGAGACAAGTGACATTTCCCTGCTTTACAGAAGAAGAGCCTGAAAAATGACTTAGACTCAAAAGAAGTTTTGACTCAATAGAATTTGAGTCATCTGAACTAAAATTACAAAGATATAGAAGGAAAAAAATCAGAAATTATTTCCACTCAAACATAATTTTGACTTGAGTGATTTTGATACAATGAGTTTCAGCTGTAGTATCAATTATATCATTCTAATTTTCAGTTGTTTTATGTTATTACAGGATATGATTATGCACCTGTTGAATATTTTCATATTAAACATGATATAATTAAATATTACACTGATATAGTTAACTGAAGGGTTGCTGTTACATAATATTTGAAAGAGATGCTAATGTGATATATGAAGACATATATTGAGATTAAACTTATATGTTACAGACCGAATGAACTTGTCAGCCTTTGAACCAATCCCAGAACCTCCTCAACAGCTTCCTCCTTTAGAACATGGTAAGATCCAATCATATCTAATTAAATGGGATAGAAAAAATAACTCTACAGAGCTCTGATTATACATGTACTGTGATCAGTGGTATATCTAAGATATCACAGTGAAAGTTCTCCTAAATTAAGGTTCTGATGATACATGTACTGTGTTCAGTGGTATATCTTAGATATCACAGTGAAAGTACTCCTAAATTAAGGTTCTGATGATAGATGTACTGTGTTCAGTGGTATATTTTAGATATCACAGTGAAAGTTCTCCTAAATTAAGGTTCTGATGATACATGTACTGTGTTCAGTGGTATATCTAAGATATCACAGTGAAAGTTCTCCTAAATTAAGGTTCTGATGATACATGTACTGTGGTCAGTGATATATCTTAGATATCACAGTGAAAGTTGAGGTTGACTTACAAAGTGAACAATTTTTGTGAAACTGTGAAATTTGGCCCAAGTATTCACTTGATGTTGTAATATTTCTTCCTGTATTAAAGTTTCATTTTCCTTACTGATAACTGGAATGTATTGAAACTTAATAATAGCAGTATACTGCACTTGTCATATCCTGTTTATCTTGTTATTATAGAAGGCTATGGAGAGGACAGCACAGACCATATGGATGCCTTTCCCTTCAGTCAACCTGTACCCAAAGAAAAAGATGATGATGCAGAACTGAGGCGCCAACTCAACAATATGGGTGGAGGTGAGATTGTACAAAGTTTTATAAAACTCTGACCTTTATTTAACATCTTTAAAGTTTGTGAAAAGGAATAACCTTTACATTTATTCAAGGTCTAAAGTCCAAGAAGCAGGATATTTGGAGGAAAGGTGTTTCCAAATCACAAATTTCTAAAAAAAAAGAAAGGACACTCACATATAATTCAGGTCTTAAATGTTAAAGTTTAAAGTTAAGCATCATTTTAGTATACTTGATAAACACCAATTCCATTTTTGGTGAACACTGAACACCAGGTGAGCAGTGCTTTTTATTGCAGTCACTTTCATCCAGCGTCATACATCTGTAAACAGTTTAACATTTTCAACTTCTTCTCAAACACTCCTGATCCGATTTCAATGAAATTTTGCAGAAACCTCTCCTGGCCTAAGATAAATAAAAATTATGAATTCTGCAGTCTCCACCCCACAGGGGCCTGTATGAAAAGAAGCATGGAAGGTGCTTTGATTACCAAAATGGGTCTCGCATTTCTCACCGAGGAGGAAGTTTTTTTTTAAACTTTACTGTAACTTTCATAGAAAAATTGCATTTTTGAGCATAACGTTGGTCATTTCTAACTGGGAATAACTTTACAAGAATTGTTAGTATAGGATGACAGTTTTGATGGAATGCATGTATTGACACTGACATACTATATTCAGTGTCACAATTTCTTTTTCATGACACTTGATAACTATCCTTTAACCTTTATATTCAAAATTGCTTATCTCAGGTGACCGTCAAGTCTGCTAGGCCTCTTTTTTTTCTTTTTTTTTATCATTGAATTTGTCTAGCTTTTTTATAACTAACTTTTATTTAATTTGCAGCATCAAGAAAGCAGTTTGTTGCATTAGCCAAGAAGTTTTTTTCAAGAAAAAAGAAAAAGATGACGCTAAAGCAAATGTATCCTTAATTTCAGATCTTGTTCCTCCCATTTTATCTAGAGGCAAATAATGGTACTTCAGTCCAGACTCCTGTTTTATCTAGAGGCAAATAATGGTACTTCAGTCCAGACTCCTGTTTTATCTAGAGGCAAATAATGGTACTTCAGTCCAGACTCCTGTTTTATCTAGAGGCAAATAATGGTACTTCAGTCCAGACTCTGTTTTATCTAGAGGCAAATAATGGTACTTGAGTTCAGATTTATCCTGTAGCTTTGGTATAAATTTCCAATTTTATCTCTTGCATGACAGCTTTTTGTAGACCTTCACACAAAATTGAAGGAAGAGAATACCGTGGAAACATTTCCAACCTTTAGGTTAGGAATTAAAGATTGCTGTAACAATAATATTCGCTTAATGATTGTCTAGTGACACAAGGTAAGGTATTCACCTTTCGCCTAGGTGACTGGGCTCAATTTCTGCATCGGTCATGAAAAGTTACTGGGCCTCTGCTCTACCACATGTTTTCCTTGGGTACTCCGGTGTCCTCCCACAGCAAGTTCCCTTGTATACTTCACTCTATATTTCAAGTTTTATATATGAATATTTACATCAATTTATCAAATGTTGACACTGATTTGCAGATGAATTTCAGAGGATTTGAAGGTATTTTCTAGTTCTTCAAAAGTCAGAAATTCAGACATTAAAAGTGTATAACAAATTGTTTTCCATGGGTGCTACGGTTTTAACTCCAAATTTCAAAGTTACAAACATAAATATGAATTCTTTTTGTCAAATTCTTTATAGAAAGTTCCTATAGCTTCAGTAAATAAATATAAACTTGTAAATGTCAAATATTTGTGATTATATCTCTGCATCATCTAGAGTGTGTTTCACGATTGTTGTAGAATTAATAAAGTTGTATAATATATATATCTACATCAATTTGCCAAACAATGCCACTGATTTGCAAATGAGTCTTACAGGATTTGTAGGTATTTTCTAGTTCTTCAAAAGTCAAATTATCAGAAGCGTATAACAAATTGTGAAAATAACAGAGTATCAAACCATACCATCATTGTCTTTGGCATTGATGGTATGAATTATAAAATGTTTAAGATGAACAATTCAAAGTCACATTTACTGCAATATCCCTTAACTCCAACAAAGTCAGAAGGAGAAGCTGGCACCTTCTATGGTTAACCTTTTGGACAGTGATGAGGAGGACTTCAATGCACACGACCACATGGATCACCCCTACAACCAGCGAGCAGAAATAGAGCCTTTGGTGAGTAAAAGTCCAGTAACGTATGAAAAACTAGATCATTCTTTCTTTGGTCTACTTTTTGATTGGGTACATTTTTTATCAAACCGATTACAAGTTCTCATGTGATCCTGAATATGTCTGAATGGCTTTTATTTGGATGAATAAAAATCAAAGATGGCTATCTTCCCAGTATGTTAAGAAATGTTCATCTGTAACATGTTATATGAAAAATACTCTGATCTCATTAGTTTTAATCAAATGTCATCCAAAAAAATATTACTGCCATAACCTAGTGTTAATTGTCGCAATGCTTTGACCAACATGAAATCAGAGACAGTTATATCTCTGCAGGATCATTTACTACTTGAAACAAGGCAAATTATAACAGCCAATTAGGCCTCTTACTTTAAATCCAACTTACACATGTAGTGAATATCTTCTAAACTTACAGCCTAGCAGTATTACAGCAGTGCCAAGCCACAAGACTGTCCAGCGTCCACCATATCACCCAGAAACTATAACCTCCTACCATGATAACCACGCTACAGATATGGTTTAGATGTCACCATGACAACCAAGCTACAGATATGGTTTAGATGTCACCATGACAACCATGCTACAGATATGGTTTAGATGTCACCATGACAACCACGGTACAGATATGGTTTAGATGTCACCATGACAACCAAGCTACAGATATGGTTCAGAAGTCACCATGACAACCATTCTACAGATATGGTTTAGATGTCACTTACCATGACAACCACCTTACAGATATGGTTTAGAAGTCACCATGACAACCATGCTACAGATATGGTTTAGAAGGTTTGTGACAAGGACTAGGGCAACCACAACAGATACTCATACCTAATATGTTCTATGTATATATTTAGGAAGAGATTGGCAGATTATTTAAAGATGTTTTCGTATGTGTAACCAAAGAGAATACTGTATCATACCCTTTCCCATCCTAAATTTTCACTGTTGATTGTTCAGTATTCTGGACCAAACCATATAGAGGGAGGGAACATTTCATTATTTTATTTTCAATTTTGTTTTCTAAATTGTCCAAAGGTTGAAAGGGTACAACAGTTTTCTAGGGGGAATAAGATTTTGTTATGGGTTATAGTACATGTAAATCAACTTCTTAGAATCTTGAAAAAGAAAACCTTCATTTTAAATATGTATGAACATCTTGATTTAGAGCAGTATCTACATGATCATGGTTGTTATACTCAATTTTCTGTTTTTGATATTTTCACAATTTTGGAAGTAAATGGCAACACCTCAATATTTCACTGTATTTCATATAGAAGCATGAGGTGATGTGCAATTACGAAAAACCACTGATCTTGTCACATTTTTCATTGAAATTGGCAATAAATATAACTATGTTTTATATACTCAAATCGCTCTAATAACTGTTATACCATATAAGGCAAATTGGATTCTGGATGTAAAATTTCATTGTGATAGTTGTTTTAAAGTGTTCAGATGATCAGGGTGTGTTCAGTGAGGTCAGTTATGGAGTACTGATGCTGATGCTGATGCTGGTACTGATGCTGGTAGTAGATTTGCTGAGGTACCTCTATACATGAAGTGGGCTTTCATTGAGATATAACATGACATTTGTGTATATGTAGTTACCACAGGACAAAGTTTGGTAAGTGTATACTCATGTGTAATAGTGACTTTTAGAGATGTACACTACACCAAAGAGGAACATTTTAGGTTTGCAATACATTATATATAATATGCTTGTATATATCTGTATATAGGCTGTAAGTTATAAAGGCTTAGCCCTCCAAAACTAAATGTTGGAGACTTGAGCATGACACAGTGCCAGTTTTCATTGTCCAGACTTTTTTTTTTCATCTTTATTTACTTATTCTTAAATACACAAATATCTGTAAACGATGTAATGTTTGAGAGAGTGCGTTCATTTTATTTACTATTATGTAATAAGCAAACACATTTAAGCAAGTTGTTGTTTGTAAAATATTGTTCATTAAATATTGTTCATTTAATTTTTCCTTACTGCCAATATATATATATTAAATCAACAAGATTGTTTACATTAATTTAAAGAAGTAGTGATTCCAAAAGTGTACCAACAGTGTTATTAATTTCATTTTGCATGGAAAGGATTTTAAAACAATTTGAATTAGACAATCAATACTGTTGTGACTCCAAACTTAACATCGGGGTCCATTAACTTGACATCTTCTAAGTGCATGTTCAGGTAATAATGCATTATAATCAGTTTCAGATTTTTATTTATTTATTTTTTTTTTATTGATGAAAACAAATCTATTTAAAATGTTAACATTTCAGTTAAAAAAATTTAAATCTGTTTTATGTGAATATCATATTATTTGTTGAAGTCTTAGATTTGGCTGTATAAAAGAATGTTACTTTACATGCATTTAACTTGAAACTTAAATCTTGAGTAAATTTGTTTTTACTGAAATTTACAGTGAAATCTTTGGTCAGGATTTTAAATTGATATCTTGAGACTTTTTTACCAGTTACATACATTTAAATGCCCAGAAGAAAAAACATTTTGCAAATTTGAAAAAACTTATCTTTAGCTATAAGCTTGATTAGTTAAACATAAGACTTGTAATTCCAAAGTCCTGTATTTGAATCTTAGCAGAGACGTTGATACAGAATAAAGACTTTGGTTATTACACAGATGTGCTCCATGTGAAATTGTCTCAAATACTTGAAAGGGTGGGATCATTTTTTTCAATTTTTGTGTGTGAAAGTCTCTCACACAAGATATCAAAAACTAGACAATATTTTTGCTTTTGTTACAAATAGTCATCGTTCGATTTTTTAATGAAAAAATTAGATTGGCCAGTGTTTAAGTACAGCTTCAATTTTGATATATATGTAGAACTATATTTATACATGTGAAGTCTTAGGTGTTCCCAACAACTAGAGTTTTATTTTATTTACAGCTTTAAACTTATAAAAAAATTATAATTTGTTATCCCTATTTTCTCTGCCATATTAAATGCTGCTTTTTGTTATAAAAATCAAAATTTCTATAGCAATGTAAGGAATTGATCATGCCTCATTTGTTTTAAATTTAAATATGGACTTCATTTTTTTGAGAATTGGAAATATCTTCAGCAACTTGATATAAAGATATGCTTAATAAACTTTGAAATTTTGACAATTCATAATAAAAAAATCATGATTAAAAAGCTTTAGAGGTTTCTTACCAAAGTACATCATCAACATTTATGCCGAATATTAGCAGCATATTTTTTTTCTTGTGTTTTCTGAATATGGTTTCAATATCTGGTATCCTTTATATTCATAACTTATTTCTTGCTCAAACTTAGGTTATTTGCTCAATCTTGGAGTGAAGTTAGAAGGTACATTTTGAAATGATATAGTGTGTAACATATGATGAAATGTTTTGGCAGTGTTTATTTGGCAGTTGACATCAAAATTAATCAGAAGAGTCCCAAGTAAATTCATGGATGCTCACATTGCAAAAGAAATAATTTAAACAATCTGTTTTAATACTAAAATCTGGAACACAGTGTGTATGATCTCCTTGATTACAAATCGTACTTGGTGTAAGACCAGAAGGACTTGGCAGTAATTTATCACTTAAATGATAATATACCTTACTGAATGTGTAAAACTTAAAAAACCTAAAAAATTCAGTGGCAGCCATATTTGGCAGAAAGTGGGAACAATTTATCAAACTGACTTGGTCTAATTGAAAATGAAACAATAACCTGTTTGTTAGAAGGTTGTACCAGGAAAACTGTTTTGTAGTCGATTAATGTCTTGTGTTCAGCATTGCTTTATTATTTAAAAACTGAGTATGTTACAAGAAAGATTATTTGAGCACATAACTTGAGTTTGGTGACAGATTAATGAAAACAATCCTTAGTAAGTTTCTATCACGTGTTGGCTAAGAATCTCAACTGTCGGATGGCTTACATTGAATTGTTCATGATAAACATAACACTTACTGTCAAGTTACTCGAGCACATTTCATCTTCAGTATTGAAAGTTAAACTTCAAAATTACAGACATAGATATGAATTCTTTTTGTGTCAAGTTCTTTATATAAAGTTCCCATAGCTTTAGTAAATAAATGTAAACTTGTAAATGTCAAATATTTGTGATTATATCTCTGCATCATCTAGAGTTGTCTCCACTTACTTAATTGCTTAAGCTTCTTCATTCATTTAAATGAAAGGTTAATTTTCATATTCATTTCAGTTGTACATTGAAATTCATTATGATATAACTATGCCCAGAATTAGCATTATAAACATTCAAGTGCCGGTCAATATCATTTGTATTGTAGATTATTCTTCAGAAAATATATATTTAAAAAAAATCATCAAGTTTATAACCCAACATATGTCTGACCAATGAACCGTCTTGTTCATAAATACCAGTATTCACATCAATAGTTTTCCTGTGTTTTATCAACCTTTGTAAAAATGAAGTAATTTAAACTGTACTCGTGTAGTTTGTGTAAACACATCTGTCATTGACACTAAACATTAGTGAAAAGTTCAACTGTACATCTTTCCTGTTTAAAGGATTTTCTCTGACAAACTTTTAATTATTAAAACAGATTTGATGTGAATGAATTTTCACTGTTCTACCTTGGAATTTGTCTAATCAGTTGCCTTGTAGGAACCAATGATTTGTATCAGACAAAATACAGTGATTTTCTTCTGTGCTTACCTATCAGAATTAAGATCGTGGCTAGATAAATATCACAATACTAAGAAGTGTGATTAGACTTGGCTGCTTTCACTCAATAAGCATCATCACTGTCCAGGTTTTCAGGTAAAACTCTGAACTTTTTTAATAAGGTACATTAATGTCTTTCAAAAATGTACCCAATTATCTTGTTTGGTTGGTGTACCAGGTACATTAATGTAGTACCCAATTATCTTGTTTGATTGGTGTACCAAGTACATTCATGTAGTACCCAATTATCTTGTTTGATTGGTGTACCAGGTACATAAATGTTGTACCCAATTATCTTGTTTGATTGGTGTACCAGGTACATAAATGTAGTACCCAATTATCTTGTTTGGTTGGTGTACCAGGTACATTAATGTTGTACCCAATTATCTTGTTTGATTGGTGTACCAGGTACATAAATGTAGTACCCAATTATCTTGTTTGGTTGGTGTACCAGGTACATTAATGTTGTACCCAATTATCTTGTTTGATTGGTGTACCAGGTACATAAATGTAGTACCCAATTATCTTGTTTGGTTGGTGTACCAGGTACATTAATGTTGTACCCAATTATCTTGTTTGATTGGTGTACCAGGTACATTAATGTTGTACCCAATTATCTTGTTTGATTGGTGTACCAGGTATATTGATGTTGTACCCAATTATCTTGTTTGATTGGTGTACCAGGTATATTCATGTAGTACCCAATTATCTTGTTTGATTGGTGTACCAGGTACATTCATGTAGTACCCAATTATCTTGTTTGGTTGGTGTACCATGATTCAAGTCTAATTTGCAGTGTAGTACAGTCAAGAGAAACATGCA